ACTGCTTTTATTGTCCTCATTTGTAAGTCGCTTTGGATAAAAGCGTCTGCTAAATGACTAAATAAATAAATATACATCTTCAGATCAGGTTATTTATTAGAGGTACAGAAGGCCACACAGCAACCTTTCGGCATTGCACCAAGCAAAAATCAATGGAATTCATCACACAAAGTAAAGATCAAGCGCCTAGCAAGGTCTCCGCGCGTTAATTCGAATGGTTTGTTTTCCCCCTCGGCTAAACGGTTATGACGTTTTTGTGGGCGTTCCCAGCAATGCCGAACAAGTCTGTTATAGTGATCTTATAGTTTATATATTGCTTATACATTTTATATTGTTAAAACTAATATTATATTTATATTAAAATATAATATTATAATATAAAAAAAATAATTTAAGCTAAGTTTGCTTAGCGTTTTGCTTCGTTTTGTTGCGTCGCGTCGAACGCGTAGCTACGCTCTTTGATTGGTCCACTGGATGCTGCACGCGTTCCATCCCCAACTCCGAGACGCGTCGCGTTTATCACGCATTGCGCAGACGCGCCTCGGATCCGCTGGGCGTTTGTGCTGCTGGCGGGGTAAAATCAGCAGCAAGACGTTAAACTACACGAACTCCAGATGTGCAGAGGATCGAGCACTTGTCAAAACCTCTGGATTATATAATCTTTGCTCATACTCGGAAGTGCACTGCAAATCAAGGCGCGAGGTAAGTCTGAACGAACGCTCTGGACTTTTCTGCATCCGTCGAGACTTTGTTTCACTTTTGTACTTTCACTCCTGTGTTGTTGATAACACATACGTTTCACGTAAAGGTTGTATTATAGATTAACTGTTCATCAGGCAAAAGTCTTAACATCTTTTAACGTTTAAAACGTCAAAAGACGTGTGAACTTCATTTCCTTGTTTTGCTGTGCCTTTAAACGGACCATCATTAGCTCTCATATTGTTTGCATGCATGCATTGCTGTTATAAGCTGGGAAATCATTCAGTAACATGTTTAGTGTGTGTGAATGCATTGAATCCGTTTCCACTCTGTTTACATCTAGACTGAATTCACATTGACTTCTCCATAGCATTTGAATAGTTTGAGGCTGAATGCATGCATGGCTAATAAAAGCCCTTTAAACACACACACACACACACACACACACACACACACACACACACGGTCAGCTGTTGTGGTCAGTGTGGGTTTATTGAATGACACAGGAAGTGATGAAAGCAAGGGCTGTTTCACCATATAACCCTAGTATTTCTTATCTAAAACCCACACCCAGGCCACTTCGGTAGCACCAAGGAAAAACTTGCAGTGTTACTTCAACTTGATGTTTTAGATGCCACAGACTCCCAAATATGACCATCTTTGTGAGAGGAACCACCGTCCTACAATATAAAAAGCATCTATAGTTTTTTAAATTTTATTTAAAAACCAAATTTATATTGTGAAAAATTGGTAAGTTTATTATTTTTAATTATTTACTCATTTATTACTTAAAAATACATTAAAATATATATAAAAAAAATATTTATTTAATATGTATGTTATTTATTTTTACCTACTTTTTTATTATTTATTTTTACATTTTGTTTCCACTGAGCTCCTCTAGTGGCCCCTAGTTTGAGAACCCCTGGACCCTTCGGGTTCCTTTTGGCTCTTGTATTTTATGCTGT